CTTCCCCCATCCAATGGCCCAAGGTGGAGGTGGTGAATCGCCAATAGGGATGAGAATCAATTCTGAGTTCCTAGCCGTTGCACATTGGTTCACAGGACGCCCTCATTATTGTTATCGATGTTATTCGTTATCATAATTATTTATAGCATTTTTACTTGTTTTTTGCTTGCATAGTTGCGTCAGTTGAAATCACTTGTCAAATAAATTTTTTTTTTCTTGAATATACCTGTGGCAAATGGTGAAGCTATAGGTAAGTGTAAGATATTGTAATGGCAACTAATAGGAACCAAACTGTGATAAAAACTTCAGCACTAAAATAATCCAAGTGAAAGAAACAATCGTCTTGAGAATTGCTGCATAGAAATTTTTGTGCGGAGTAACATATGGTAGCATATATTTTGTGCGTGTGTGAGAAACACCTTGCCAATTTATTACTTCATCCCAAAATATCTTCAAATGTAAAAATTACACAGATTGATATGTGTTCGCGCGCGGGTGTTGGAAAACACTTCGTCAATGTATTACTTCATCCCTAAATGGTACTCCCTCTATTCCTAAATAATTGTCTATTATGACTTTTGGGGCCTATTTGGAAATAGCGTTAGAGATTAGCGTCAGCATTTTGGATAAACTTTTAAGGGTGCAGATTATTTTGAAAATGTTAACCCTAAACGTTGTTCGTAGATAGCTTTTTCAAGACGCTAACACTAAATTTTAACACTATTCTGAAACAGGCCCTTTAATTACAATTGATTTTGAATAAATGTGACAAACATTATGTCCATTGTCCACATTCATTTCACTTAAACAATTCTTGAAAGTTCTATTAGATAGTTATTTAAAAATGGAGAGAGTATCTTCCAATATGAAATGACACAGAATGAGAGTAAGAGAAAATGTAGTAAATGGCAAGGAAAATTCTTTTAGCCTATGAATTTAAGTTTCTTTTGCACACAATTCACATACTTTATTACCAAAGCACCAGTTTGAATAGGCTACATCAGATATAACTTCCTACTACATATGCTTACTACATATTACAAAGCCTTTATATAGTTTAAACAATTCCTTATATAAGCTATTGCTTGTTGAGTAGGCATTTCAGCAACTCCCCTGTGTTGGTGCATTTTATCATTCCTCCATCGCCATATTTTATACACATGTAGCCCATATAGCAATCCATTTCTTTCTTTGCTTCCCACTTGCTATAAAGTGCACTGCCCTCCCAAAATCCTCACCAGATCCAGCATAACATGGCATATTAAACTCGTTCATTACCACAGCAGCCAGGACTTAGCCTCCTCATATTGCCAGAAGAGGTGTTGTGCAGTTCCTGCCTCTCTACCACAAAGTTCACAGCTAGTGTTAATGCTCATATACTTGTCAATCCTATCCTTTGTTTGCAATCTGCCCTTCCAAAGCAGCCATATTATAAATCTAAATTTGGATGGAGTATATTTATTCCAAACCCGATCTCCACACAGGCTATTCCCTCTCCCCTTGTAACCATTCATATCCTTTACTTATGGCATCGAGTAGTTTGACAGGCATATTTACAAACTTCTCCTTAACCCTCATCATTTCCTTCCAATAATGACATGAATCTTGTTTAGGCTTGTAGCACCAGAAATCACCCCCTTTGATATACCTTGCATGTATCCACTAACCCATAAAATGTCTTTCTTTTCAGCTATGTTCCAATTTAGTTTCATAATAACTGCATAATTCCAATTCAATGCATTTTTATCCCCAATCCACCATACTTCTTTGATTGGCATACCTCATCCCATTTGACTAGGGGTGCCTTTGTATATTCTGCTTTACCATTCCACAAAAAGTTCTTACAAATTGCCATTATCTTCTTCATCACTCCTTTGGGTAAGATGAAGATTCTCGCCCAGAAATAGATTACTCCCATCAACATTGAGTTGATTAATCTGACCCTAGCTATGTAAGAAAAATGTCTAGTTTCCCATACCGTTATTCTTGCAGTAATCTTATTGATCAAAGCATCACATTCATGGCCCCTCAGTCTAGCCGTAGTGATAGGAGACCCTAGATATTTGAAAGGGAACTTACCTTCCTTCATATTAGTCATTTTCAGCAACTTCTGCTCTATGTCATGGCTAATTCTCCCAAAGACTACCTTAGATTTGTTCTTGTTAATCTTCAGCCCAGTAGTGAGTAGAAACTCATCCAAAGCATTCATGATACAATTAACAAACTTGTAATCTGCTTTGCAAACAAAAATTAAATCATTAGCAAATGTTAGACTTACTATATTCAATCATTTATACATGGGTGGTAAGAGAACACATCCTTTTGGGCAGCCATATGGAATTTCCTTGTGAGGTACTCCATTACAAACACAAATAGCAGTGGAGATATTGGATCTCCCTGCCTCAATCCCCTCCCTCCTCTGAAGAATCCATGTTGCTCTCTAGTCACATTTAGTGTGTAAGTAGGATACAAAAAAATCCCCTCAATAAACTTTCCTAAAACTTCAGTCCCTGTAAGATACCCTTGACGGATTTCCTGCTTACTGAATCATACGCTTTCTGAATATCGAATTTCATCATACACCTTGGGGAAACCCCTTTCCTCTTGTATCCTTTGGCCAACTCTTGACATAGTAGTACATTGTGGAGTAATTTTCTTCTTTTTACAAAAGCAAATTGGTTCAGATTGACAATATGAGGCAGTACTTTCTTTAATATAGTACAAATCATCTTTGATATCACCTTGTATACAGTGTTACAGCAGGATATGAGCCTATAATCTTTAGGTTTCATTGGGATGTTTACCTTTGGGATGAGGGTTATACAAGTAGTATTTATCTGTTTTAGGGTAGTGTCCTCCCTAAAGAACTCCAATACTACTTTCGTAATCAGTTTGCCCACTTTATTCCAATTCTTTTTTAAAAACCCACTACTATACCCATTAGGCCCCGGGCTCTTTGAGCTAGAAATAGAGAACATAGCTTCCCTAACTTCTTCTGGCTGGAACTCCTTTACCAATTCTAACTGCTGATCAATACTGAGGACCATTCCTGACTCAAGTATCCCCTATCAACATATTTTGTGGGGATAGTAGTTCCCATCATTTTGGTATAGAACCCCTCTAGAACTCTTGCTATTGCCTTTGTTCCTTCCACTTCCTTCCCATCATCATTGATACTCATGATATAATTATTAAGTTGTCTTATCTTAGCCCATGCAAAGAACATTTTGGATTCCTCGCCCCCCTCTGTAATCCACTCTTGTTTGAATGGTTGCCATTTACCCCTCTAGAACTCTTGCTATTGCCTTTGTTCCTTCCACTTCCTTCCCACATTCATTTGTTTCCTCACTTCCCTCTCTTTATTGATTAGGGCCTGATCTGATTGAAGCTTAATCCTCCCTTGTATTTCCATCAACTCTTCTCTTATATCATCTACTCTTTAGTGGATACTTCTAAACTTATCTTTGTGTAGTTTCCTTAAGGACTCCTTCATTCTTTTTAGATTCTGAATCACTTGATACATACTCCTATGATTTAGATCCTCTTTCCATTCATTTTGTAAAATTTGTGGAAACTTGGGGTCTTCCATTCACATATTGCAAAACCTAAAACATTCTCCTCTTTTCTGGCAATTGGATTATTCTTTAATGAGCAAAGGTGAGTGGTCTGACACTCCTTCATTCAGGACTTTGGTTTTGGTATTATGACTGTGTTTGGAAAACAACTTTTTGGATAGCTTTTGGTATCATTGACTGACTTTGGCTTATTTGACTTATCGAACCGCCAAAAACATTATTTGGCTACTGACTTTTTCCTTCACATGGCTTTTTGATCCGAAATGCCAAAATCCAAAAAGCCAAGAGGAGTAGCATTTGAACTTGGCTTTTAAAAAAATTATTTTTTTATCATTTTTCTTGAAAGATATTTTTTAATATATGTAAAAAATAGAAATAAAAGTTGAAAAAATTGAAAAATTTTTTAAAAAAAGTTTAGAATTTTAAAATTTCAAAAAAAAGATATGAGAAAATCAAAAGTAAAAATCTGTAAAAAGTTATATATTAATAATTTCTTATTAATTATATGAAAATGTAGTTTTATACTCCACATATTAACAATTTAATTTTTACATGTACAAAAATAAAAAATAAATATCGTGTGTGTGTGTCTATGTGTGTGTGTCTATATATATATATATATATATATATATATATATATATATATATATATATATATATATATATATATATATATATATATATATATCAAAACAGCTATTTTCAAACTGCTAATTTTACCAAATTTTTTTATCGATCAGCCAAATCATCCTTCCAGTCAAACCAGCTAAATTAAACATCTATTTCGAACATGCAATACAAACAGCCATTAGCCAACAACTGACAACCAACATTCAAACAAGGCCTATGTCTCATAAGTCATTCAATGCTTACAAGCACCCTATTTGGCTTTGAGAGAATTCTATGACCTTTCATCGTGCTTGTTAGACCAAGTGTAAAAAGGCCCCTCACTTGGCAGCTCTTCTAAACCAAAGTCAGTTGCATAATTTTTAAAATTCTTGATATATCTTCAGTAACTGGGATACTCCCTAATTTGTCATCCACATGCAGTACATTATTACAATCTCTCAGACAACACCAAGGGCTATCCATACTTATTGCATATTCCCTTAGTTTATTCCATAATAGTTTTTTCTCTCATTATCATTGAAAACATAGATAAAAGTAATATATTCATAATCACTATTATCTATATTTCTTACCTTCACATGTATGGCATGTGCTCAACAATCAATTATGTGCACAACTATCATCTTATTATTCCATAGTAACCAAATTCTACCTAGGGGATGGTGATCCACATTTGTGTAAAAACCCAAACTCTTCAGAATCTTATTCCGTACTTCTTCTTCTTTATTCGTCCTAACTTTAGTTTCCAAAATTCGCCTGACTTACATCAAGAAGATAAAATGACTTACACAGTTACACCAGGAGCACAGGGATGAACTGCTGCTCATGCGTAGCGGTGTGATGGACAGTGCCAAAACACTGGGTGCGAGCGGAGCATCCATTTCCTTACACAGTCTTCCTTCAGCTTGCTCTTGGAGTCTCTTTAAAGGGTCTCTGAAGAAGCAAAAAGTCTTGAATTGCCGCTCTCTACTCCTCACCAATAATCGTACTTTTTCTTACCACTCGATCAGGTGATTTTGGGTTAACCTGATAACGTCTCTTGAGTTCTATACAATATTATTTATCTTTGTGTCTGATTCAGTGCTGAAACCGTTTCTGTTAAATAGGTAGCTAAGGTAGCTTCAGGTATATGGAGATTAAAAGCCTGTGAATTGCATGCTGTATCAATTTGAATTATAGTGTAAATATTGCCATTTATAAAATCTAATTTTAATTTAAGTTAGAAAATAGTGAGCTTTCAGAATATTAAATCATGGATGGAGCTTAAGCTTGAAAATTTACTTCATTTATTGACCTGCTGGTTTTTTGTTTGACGTCGGTGTTGTTGTTTCTACTGTTACATTTCCCCATTTTTATGGGTGGAGGGCATGGTGGTAAGCGGGCAAAAGTACTAAGAAAGTTGTGTGTGTAGGAAGAGAAGTATAATTGGTAAAATATTTGCTGGGGAAACTTTTGCGGTTTCTAAGATGGCTGGGAATAGGAGAAATGAAACTTCAGATGAGAGATCTGGGAATATGATTTTTGAGCCTATTCTAGAGGAAGGAGTCTTCCGATTTGATTGCTCTGCAGAAGACCGGAATGCAGCATATCCAAGTTTTTCTTTCGTAGATCAGAAGGCAAGGGAGACACCCCTTACGAGTGGTCACAAAGCTCCATTATATACTCCTACTTTTCAATGTGTAATGGGGCAACAAATCGTCAACATTAAGGTATTAAATCTTGGTCCCAATAGAATGTATAAATAGCAACGTGTCAAGTGTTTAGAGTATCATACGTCCAATAAATCTGATGAAGTTGAGCTGGGATGAAATCTAGCTTCCACTAGGTACTTCATTCTATGGTACAGGAGAAGTTAGTGGCCAGCTTGAAAGAACGGGTAAAAGGGTGAGTGCAATTTTTTTTAAAAAAAATCTGTGAAGTACTTTCACACTATTCTTTTCAGGCTTTTCATTGTGCTTGTTATTATATCCAGGTATTCACCTGGAATACTGATGCGTATGGTTATGGTCCTGGGACTACCTCCTTGTATCAATCACACCCTTGGGTGCTGACTATTCTTCCCAGTGGAGAGGCACTGGGGGTTTTGGCAGATACATCACTGCGATGTGAGGTGTGTTTGTGTATGTCCGTTTCACTAATATTTATGCTCTATCTGATGGGTACTTGAGAGTTAAATTTCTCCACATTTGTTGGTGCAGATTGACTTGAGAATAGAAACCAATATCAAGTTCATTGCAGCGGGGCCATATCCTGTTATTACATTTGGCCCCTTCGCTTCTCCAACGGATGTTCTTGTAACTTTGTCACATGCAATTGGTAATATGATGTGCCTTGCACTTGTAGTCCTTGCCATTGACATTCTTATCTTTCAAAATGCCTTATCCTATTTTCCCTGGCCTATACCCCACTTCTCTGTAGTGGTTCTAGTCCGGGATCAAAGAATACTATTTCACAGTTTTGTCATTTGTTATATTACTCTCTCTGCTATAACTACTTTAGACATTTTCTTCATTAACCATAATTTACTTTGCTTGCATTTCACATCTAGGGACTACTTTTATGCCTCCAAAATGGTCATTGGGTTATCATCAATGTCGTTGGAGTTATATACCTGATGCACGAGTTTGTGAGGTTTGTCACTTATCTGTTCTTCCTTGTTTTCTCATAGCATATCAGAATATACTCCCTCCATTCTGGTATATGTGTCCACTTTCATTTTGGCAAAATACCAAGATAAAGGTTAAAGGAGAAGAAAGTTTGAAATACCTTTACTATTTGGTCCGTTCAAATAATAAGGATGGATGGGTATACTCTGTAAGACTCTAAGGCCATGTTCTCTTCACCTGATCTTTGGATCAGATTTGATTGGAATAAGTTCTAATCTAGTATCATCTAATCTGATTTGATTTGAATGTAGTTATATTTTAAGCTATTTCTGATCTGATTTGGTCTGATTTGATTTGATACCAATAAGAATATGTAATAAGTAAAAAGAATAAGTTGAGGAGAACATGACCTAAGAGTATAGTGCAATGAGCTTTATTTAAATGAAAAGAATAAGTTGAGGAGAACATGACCTAAGAGTATAGTGCAATGAGCTTTATTTAAATGATTTCACCATGAAATATAAAGACTCAAGATAGTTCAGGAAGAACAAAGCAAGATTGGGCTTTGGATGGAGAACAATTGTACAAACGGAATTAGTCCAAATTACTTCCAAGGCTTTCCGAACGAGAGATTGTTTTGGAACATAGCCTTCGAAGTCATGGATGATAAGATCATCTAGATTTTAATCATCATCCTCCAAATCTTCATGATGTCTTGATAAATCTTTGTAGTAACTGGGAGTCTGGGATATCATCCAGATCTTTAGCTAGACAAAGGGCAAGACCGTTGACTCCTCACCGGTCAGTCACGCTCTATCTTAACCACAGTCCGTTGGCAGTCCATCCCATATTCCCATCGGAATAGTAGTTGATTTTTGCTTCTCAGGGTCTGGTTGACAACACGTGGCCGCAAAATCTGTGATGCTGTGTTCTCATTCTTCGCCTGGGGTTCTTATCCACTGTCAATTGATTCAAAAATGAAATCGCAGAAGGATGCGGAGATGTAAATTCAGTCAAATTTAGATCCAAAAATGAAATCGATGAAAAGAATAGGGGGAGGGGGAGGGGGAGGGGGAGGGAGAGAGAGAGATGGAATAATCTACTCAACTACTCGTATAGAGGCAGGAGGTTAATTGGATTCGTTGATGGAGGCTAAAATTGGCATTATATTTTTTTCATAGCATAAAAGGGAAGTGGACAAATACACTGAGACAACCCAAATATGAATACCCTGACTAGCAGCTACTTAACTATTGCAAAAGTAGCACAGATATTTAAAGAACAATTTTGCTTTATTCCATCATACCCAAAGCCAAAAGTATTGAATCTTTGGCTCCATCGGAGATGATGGAAAGAGAGAGATAAACTATGCATAACAAATATTATTCTAACAAATGCAAAGGTTCATCAGTACTCTCAATGGCCTAAAGGTGTTCCTAAATCTTATTTGTGGACTACTTTATCAACTCATCTCCTCAAGTCCTATTTTGTTTACTCGAAACAGATAGCAAGGACATTTCGTGAGAAAAAAATTCCTTGTGATGTCATATGGATGGACATAGACTACATGGATGGTTTTCGGTGTTTCACATTTAACCAGGTATGTTCTTCACAGTCCAAATAAGGTGTCTACTTTATCTTTCATTTTATTG